GCTTTAAGAGGCTTGCTGCCAAAAGGGCCTAGGATTGCTGTGACTCGAGTATGCAACTTCTTCAACAGATTATGCCAGCGTGTGATTGACACAGAGATGCTTTTATCATTGGAGATTGAGATTGTGGAAGCAATGTGCCAACTGGAGCGGTTCTTCCCTCCATCACTATTTGACATCATGTTCCATCTTCCTCTACATCTAGCAAGGGAGGCACGTTTGGGTGGACCGGTACACTTTCGTTGGATGTATCCATTTGAGAGGTGCTATACTTTCTTATCTTCTGTGTCTATTAGTTGTCTTTTAATATAGCTTGATTAGTAACATTTTGTTCTGTGATTGAGTTGTAGGTATATGAAGACACTTAAAGGTTATGTCAAAAATTATGCAAGGCCAGAAGCTTGTATGGCTGAGGGCTACTTGGCTGGAGAATGCATAGCCTTCTGCTTAGACTTTTTAAAGAATTCTGCACCTGTGGAAGAAGCAGTAAAACGAAATGAAGATGTCGAGTCTGATGATATTATCCTTGAGGGTCGCCCACTGCAAAAGGCTACTGAAATTAAACTTTTAGATAAAGAGAGAGATATAGCCCATCTGTATGTGTTAATGAACACATCAGTTATGGAGTCATATGTTCAGTAAGTTTAGTTCTATTTATAATTTATATAGTCATGCAATATTTATTCATGAAAATTAACTGCTAAATCTTGATATACAGGATGCATTTAGAAGAATTGCAAGCTAACGATGTCAGATGTGCAAGAAATGAAACTTTATTATGGAAATTTCATACAGAAAGGTTTGCACAGTGGGTAAAAGAAAAGGTATGATCTTTATTTTTCAATATGCAAGGCCATAAGTTTTGATTTAATCAGCCTCATTTGTGGCTGCAACTAACTCTGCATTTTCAAATTGTAGATACCTTCTAACTCAGAGGCTCACTCTAAGAAGCTGAGGTGGCTGGCATTTGGACCAAGACATATTGCTCAAAGCCATAAGGGTTTTTTCATAAATGGACATCGATTCCACACTGATGATGTTAAGCGGGAGACTCAGAATAGTGGAGTCACATATGAAGCCTTTTCTATGTGTAGAGCAAGTGCACGCGATAGTAAACAAATGGCGGATGTAGTTACATATTATGGAGTGATCAAGGAGATCATTCTGGTGGACTACCACATGTTCCATGTTCCTCTATTCAAGTGCAGTTGGGCTAAGACCGGGAATGGTGTAAAGGAAGAAGAAGGATTTACTATTGTCAACCTTCATCTTAAGCAGACAGCGTTTCTCCGAGATCCATACATACTGCCATCGCAAGCAAAACAAGTGTTTTACTCTAGAGAAGATGAATCTTCTCCATGGTATGTAGTTATGAGGGCTCCACCTAGAGGATATCATGAGCTAGAAACAGAGGAAGAGTTTGTCGCAGCACCAGTGTTTGACCAGCAAGTTGAAGATTTGGGGAACCAGTCGTCTGATGATGAGAGTTATTATGTTAGGGATGACTGTGATGGAGTGCTAGTGGAAGATTAATAGCTACAACTATATTTTGAAATAAAACATTGAGTACCAGAATTAATGTGGAGTATTTATTGTTGATTTTGTTTCAGGATCAGTCATGGCAATTACAAGAGGAGGAGGAAATCTCCGCCATAGTAACCGTCAAGCAGGAAGAGGTGTGACTCCTGTTGTTGTAAAGAAAATTTCAAAAAAGTCTAAGAAAAAAGAAGTTCGAGAGGTGATTAGTTTTGAATCAGATGATCAAGTTGTGGAGGAACCAATGAGTACAGCTGTTGGAGGAGAAGAGCAAAGTTCTGTAAGAGATGTTGAAAAACCAATGTCTGAAGGAGAAAAAGAAGATGGTCAAGTAGAAATGGATGAAGCAGCTGCAGGAAAAGAAGATGAACCTGTAATGGCCGAAGGAGAAAAAGAAGATGGTCAAGTAGAAATGGATGAAGCAACTGCATGAAAAGAAGATGAGCATGTAATGGCCGAAGGAGAAAAAGAAGATGAAGAATTAGAGGTAGACTCTGACAAAAAACAGCGTGGAGTTGATGGAGAAAATGATCAAGAACCTGTTGAAGGTGGAGAACAGTCCCAGCCTGCTGGAGGTGGAGAACAGTCCCAGCCTGCTGGAGGTGAAACTGTGGATGCTTCCACTGGAGGAGGCTCACCCCAGAAGTCTAACTCGACCACAAAGAGAACTAGGGGACAGACAAAAATGCGTAAAGTCGCAAAAGACCCGCTTGCGAAGGTTTTGGATCAGTAACACTTTCATCATTCCTTGGTCCTCTGGTGAGGGAGCATGTTACAGTACTACTCGATGATTGGAAGAAACTCGATGAACAAACAAAGGACACAATGTGGGAGGAAATTCATGTAAAGTGTTTTTTATCTTCAATATTTCTCATTCATTACTTTGTATCACTGTCATGTAACCTCACATTTATTATAGGGGAGGTTTAATTTGCAAGAGGAGTGGCCAAAACATGCCGTTCTTAAGCAGATGGGTTGTGTGTGGAGGGCATCTAAATCTAAACTTGTGGGCCAAATTCGAGAGGCGGGAAGTCACGCAAAGCGATTAAGGCTTAAACCAAGCAACATCCAATCTCTTGGGAATTGGAACAATTGGGTTAAGAGCAAGACTAGTACAGAGTTTAAGGTGCACTCTTGTTTTATTTATCAAATAGTCTGTGATAAATGTATTAACTGAGCAGATTAAATACATGTATGTCTGGTTGTGGAATTATTTTGTAGGAGAAAAGTGAGAGATACAGGAACTTGAGGAGGGCTCAGATTCCACACACCACTAGCCGCAAAGAATTTCGACTGGCACATGATTTGGTTAGTATCATTCTCTGTATTTATAGATTTGTATTGTGTCTTTCTCTGTACTTATAGATTTGGTTAGTGTCTTTTGGTTGATTTTTTTATCTGTATATATAGAATAAGCATATGTTGTATCACTTATGTTAGTACTACTTGTAGAAAAAAAAAAGTTCAGACCCAAAAAAGGTTACTCGAAGTAAAGTATGGATAGCAGGACACACTCACAAGGATGGAAGATTGTGAAGCCTGAATTCGTAGAGACTATTGTAAGAACTTACCAAATTGTACTCTTGTTTTCATTACAAAAGATTAGACATTATTGGTTGATATATATATATATATATATATATATATATATATATATATATATATGTGTGTGTCTCAGGAACAAATAAAAACAATCAATAGTCAAATGGAGTCCACAGCCAATGATAACATAAGTGAAGATGCTGTCAGTCAAGTTTTGGGGAAAGATAGACCTGGGAGAATTAGAGGTTTGGGAAGAGGGATTACTGCAACCAAACTAGCATTCCTACAGGTTTGGTGCAAAATCTTGAAGCAAAACAAGCCGAATTGCTTAGCCAGATTCTAGACCTGAAAAGTGTAGTCAATGACTTAGCTGGAAAAAGGGTAAGTGTGCTAATTTTCATATATATGAGGCCATTTGAAGAAGCACAATTAACTAACAATTCTCTATCTTCTGGTCAGAAACACTCTGAAACTATGGGAGCTCAATCTGAGGTTAGTGATGTCAGTAGAGGAGTTAGGTGTCAGCTGCTTGAATGGGGTTCAACAGAAGATGTTATTATCGGGGAAGGAGAATTCTGCTCTGCTAATCCAGCATACAAGATTGGTCGCATTCCACTTGGTCCCAATGCGGCAGCTGTTGTTGTCAAATCTGTAACAGACAAAGATTCACCATTGTGGAGGCCTACCCCAACCATGTTCTCACTTGGGGAAGCTGTGGGACTCAAAATTCCTTGGCAAGCTGATAAGGTGATTTTGGATGACAACTACCCAAAAAGTCCAAATAGAACTTCTGATTCCAAGGTAATCTTTATAGACTTTAATTACTTTATTTTCACACTTTGGAAGCTAACTTGTAGATGCTAATATATATGAATCACTTAGGAGACAATATCAGATGAGTCAATTCAAAGATGCAAAGTTTTTGATTGGAATTCTCATGGTGAAGTTATTGCTGAGGGTGTTTTATGTTCCACTGATCCTGCCCAAATGGTCGACAACATTCCCCTTGGTAAAAATGCTGCCATTGTGAAGATTGACCTTATTGTGAAGGCTGCGTCTTATGTGTGGAGGCCATCAGCTACAGTACTTGTGATCTCTGATGCACTCGATCAAGAAGTCCCATGGCCAATTAATAAGATAGAAATCATCACTCAAAATGCAGGGGATGATTCAGTGAGGAAATCGCCTGGGGTAAGTTTTGGTGTTGTTTTGATGCATGTGTATTGTAGTTAATGATAAATATCTGATGAATATGTTATTGTTGTGGTAGAATACAAGTACCAACTCTGGTTCCAGCAAAGGAGTAAAGAAGAAGTGCATCCTCTTGGATTGCAAAAACCCTGGTAAAACTGTTGCAGAGGGCAGAGTTTGTTTCCACTGATCCTGCAGCTTTTACTGCATTTCAAACCCAT